GGTCTCTACAAATTCTTCATACTTTTCATTTCTTATAGAACAAAAATATTGCTTATATTGCTATATCACATTTTTAGTCATTTCCCAGTCCCCACCAGCCTTATCCAATTATTGCCACCACAACAATGATGCTATGAGGGGCAGCTAGGTGGCGCAGCGGATAGAGCACCAGCCCTGAAGTCAGAAGGACCTGAGTTCAAATCCAGCCTCGGACCAAACACTTAACACTTACTAGCTGTGTGACCCTGGGCAAGTCACTTAACCCCAATTGCCTAAAAGCAAAAAAAAAATGATGCTATGATTAATTTGGTCTATACTGAATCTTTGCTTCTGACTTCTCAGGATTCATGCCCAGAAGTGGAATTGCTGGGTGAAAGGACAATCTAGTCACTTTTCTTGCATAATTCCAAATAGAGACTCAGAATGGTAGGATCACTTCCCTGACCCACCAGCAATGCATCAGTGTGCCACCTTCTTACAGTTTCTCCAACGTTGCCTAATCTTTCACCTTTGCCAAAGAGTGTGGAATAAGGTTCAAACTTGTTGTACTGGATGTTTCTCTTACTATTGGTGATGTGTAGCTTGGTTCCATGTGGTCACTTATAGCTTGCAAGACAACCTAACGATATGGCTAGAGAGCCGGCCTCAGAACCAACACCACCTGGCTTCTGACACTGATCTTAACACTACACTGGCTGCATGATTCTGAGCAAGTCACTAACCACTGGGGGAATCAGGAAATGCCTCTTCTGGGAGGTAGCGCCTGAGCTAAGCATTGAAGGGAGGGATTCCAAAAGGTACAGGTGAGATTTATGGAACAGCTTGTACAAAAGGTACAGAGATGGAGATAGAATGTCATGAGTGGGAAACAAATAGCAATCATGATAACTTACAACATGGAGTATATGAAAATAGATCCAGATTGCAAAGGGCTCTCAATGCTTTAAAAGACAAGCTGATATGTCTCCTAGGAGAAATAGGGAGCCACTGGAGTTCATTAAGCAAAGAAAAAATGATCATACCTGTGCTTTAGGAATATTCATTTGACAGCTGTGCAGAGGATACAGACTGGATGGGCTAGAGGTAGAGACTGGGTGCAAGTGCAGGCTATTAAAATAGTCCAGGAAAGAAGTGATGAAGAGAGAGGCAACATTATAGTGGATAGAGTACTGGACTTATAATCAGAAAGTTCTGAGTTCAAACACTGTCTCAAAGACTCACTAGCTCTGTGACCCTTGGCAAGTCACTTTACCCCTTTTTTTTTTCTTTCCTGTGTTAGCTCATTTTTTAACTTTTTAAGGTTATTCGCATTGGAAGAGAGAAGGCTGAGGGGCAATTGGATCATTTTCTGAGTTTATTGAAAGCTGTAAAGAAGATGGTGAAGGACTTTTCTCCAGTATGGTAGATGAAATCCTGAAGGCAGCTTGGAGAGAAATGAAATGTGGCTGGCCTGGACAGCCTCCTTACATACAGATTCCCAAAGGAGTCATCCAATCAGAGGGAGCAGATGCAGGAACAGGGAGAACTTCCAGTGTGTGGATTCCTGGGCTGGAGTGAGACTTTTCAGCTACAGGTCTATTGGTGCTTGTGTGAAGGTGACTTTTAAACACAGTCTCAGATGAAAAAGCAATAAATAACCATCTCTACTCAAGAATCTTCAGTGGCTGCCTATTACCTCTAGGTGGTACAGTGGATAGAGTGCTAAGTCTAGAATAGGAAGACTCATCTTCCCGAGTTCACATCTGCCCTCAGACACATACTAGCTACGTGACCCCAGGCAAGTGCTTTAACTCTGCCTCAGTTTCCTCACCCATAAAATGAGCTGGAGAAGGAAATGACAAATCACTCAAGTATCTTTGCCCAAAAAACACCCCAAATGAGGTCATGAAGAGTCCAACATGACTGAAAACAACTGAACAACAACAAATAAGATCTAAACTCTAGCATTCATAACTACTCAAGCTATTGTTGCTGTTTTCTCCCTGTATCCTGGAACAAAACTCCTATACGCGCAATCCAAATGCCCTCAGCTAGTCACTTCAGGTTTACTCATCCACATACCCTTCTTCCCTGACCATACCCAAAACGCTTTCCAAACACTCCATAACGAACACCAGGCCTAAGGCTCCTAGCTGATCATGTTATATAGGCTGAAAAACTAAGGGCATCTACCAGACCCCTAAAGTCTCAGGTACCTAATTGTTTCTCTTTTCCTAGGATCCTTTTCCCATTATCAGATAAGGCCAACAGGTTCCCCTTATCATGTCAACCAGCATGACCCAACAGCATCACACAGTAGAAAGAATTCTGGGGTTATACTCAGACAGTCTAGATTTGAATCTCAGCCCTGCCAATTATTCCATGTGTAACCTTGGACAAGTCAGTTTCCTCATCTGTAAAAAGGGGGGATTTGAATTAGATCACTTTTATGGCAACTCTGAATCTACTATCCTTTGATCTGATGAGACAGAGACTATCTGAAGAGTACTGTAGTGGTAGAGGTGCCTAAATATTACTCCTGAGTATTTAGCATCCTCTGACATATAAATGTAAGCTATTATTACTGTGGTTCCAATATGGAATGCCCATTAGTTTCTTCACCTGTAGTCACATTGGCAGAGTCCCTTTAACATAATTAGGTTGTGTGCTATATGAGCAACACCACGAAGATTATACATATGTAAACAGAGCACAGGGTTAGTGGTTTAGGAGAGGGTTGGCTATGGTGATACTTCAGCTTAAGGGCATACATACCCCTGGGGTTGGTGGGGCACAGAGATAACTTTCCCAAGAGATGACTGGGGCTTCACTCTGGGCTTTGTTGGGTGGAGGGAAGCGAGCTGAGAACTGAGGTCAAGATCAACAAGTGAATCACAGTCCAGTATTTGAACCTAGAGCTTCTGATTGCACAATTAGTATTCTTTATACTGCACCATGATTCTTTCTCTTGAAAGTTACTAGTATACAGAGGATTCTCAGTCAATAAATATTGACTAAGCACCTACTATGTGCCAGTCACTATGCTAAGGTCTAAGGATACACATATGAAAAAAGAAAGCAGCACCTTCCCTCAAGGAGCTTACAATCTAGTGGAGAAAGACAACACACAACAGGAAACTGAAAAGGAGGATTAGGGACATGAGAACCTCCAGGAGTTCCAGATTCATTAAGATTCTTCTCTTAACCAATAATTATTTCCATTTAATGTCTTCTATTATTTTGCCCAGAAGGGCTTAAGATGATGGGAAGAGAATTAAATAAGGTAAACTAACATTCCTGGTCTTAGCCCATGAGCTTCTTGACCACTGAGAAATTAAGTTTCTCAAGTTTTCCCATTCTCTGATTTTGTTCTTGTTTGTTTGGATTTGGGGGGTTTCTAGTGGGTTTTTTTCCAGTCACCCAGACTGGAAGTGCAATGGCCACTCACAATCCAGGCCCCAGTGCAGATCAGCATGGAAGTTTGTTTACAACCTGAGTTTGGTGGCCATAGTGATTGTGGACTTCATATGGACACCCGATTAGCTTTGACCTACTACAACTCAGAACTCCTGAACTCAAGTGATCCACTAGCTTTAGTCTCCTCTTCTAGCAGGGATTATGGTCATGTGCCACTACTCCTGGCTAAAGTCTATTCTTTGGAGACAAAAGCTAATCTCAACTCCCCATCACTCAGACTTGCTTGCTGCCAGATGACAATTGAGAGACATTCACCTGCAGCTGTAAAATGGTCTGTTTTGAACCAGACCAAAAATGGGCCCAGATTGGGGTGAACTTGAACTATGTGTAGCAACAAAACTATGTTTGCAGAAGGAGTTATGTTAAACATTGTTAACATATATGAATTGATTTCTCTTGGCCCTCTTGACTGACAGAAAGCAGCAGAATGTCCTTATTCTTTCAAGTAGGGATCTGTTTCACCCAGCCAGCCAGCTCCTCTCACAAAGAACATGAAGATCTTGGAATGTACAGAAGTGTTTCTTTTCCCATGTCTCAGAACTAGTAGAGAATGTCTGGTGCTGTCCTTACGTGTGCTTAATAGCTACCCATGGTCTGCAGCAAAGCTGGCAGCCTGCTTGTTGTTTTAAGTGCCTTTCATCTGCAGGAAGTCCTTCCTCCTAGATCATGTTGTCACATTGAAGCCATATGCTTCTCTACTCAAGGACACCTGTTCATATAGGCCACGCCAAGAAAAAAAAGTAAAAAGACTGCTTATACGACAAACAGAGCAGATGCTCAGAGCTTAGGGGCATTTGTGAAGGCCAGCCACAAAGGCCATATTGTTGTAGGTGTGCAACAGGATTCTTGTTGAAGTTTCCTAAGAAGCCAAATTATGTTACATGTACAAAGGTTTCCTTTTGCACATTATGTAAAATATTTATTTTATCAGAACTTCTGGTGCTGTTAAAATTTAAATTCAGCAGGCTGGTTAAGCTATGAAAGCAGACTCTCCAAAAATATTTAGAAAATTAACTAGTTATAGCGGTTTTTAAAAATTTTTTTTAAATAAGACTTTTGATTACTGCTAGCATATTTTTCCTGGTGAGTTTGCACAGAGGTTTGCTTTATTTTTTTTGGTGGGGGGGAGTTTCACAAAACCATACATTTAAGTGGAAAATGGAATATGCTGCACAGAAAGATTAAAAACAAAACATTTCCCTTTAATAGTATAGTCAAAAAGAAAATCATCATATTAGTCACAAAGTACCCAAGGCTGGAGATACTGCCCTTTAAGGATCTGGGCCACAAGAGTGTTGTTATAGGTAAACCTTCTGATATCTTGCTATGTTTTAGTTTAATTGTGTGTTGTTAAATCCAACAACCTTTTCTAGACCTCAGCATTAATTTTTTTTTTACTTTTTCAGCAGTTTTTGACTGCCTTCCTCCTAGACACTGTTCTCATATCTGACTGACTTTTTTGGTTGCCCATTGCTGAATCGTCTTCCTCTCTTCCACCAAGTACCAGCACACCCCAACGTTCTCTGATCTTTTTCTCTATATAGACTCTTTCCTTTGGTGATCCCATAAGCTCCCATGCAGTTTGCCGCTCTTCAGACAAGACACTCCATCTCCTAAGGCAAAGGTATTTATACTGATTTTTCCCCATGCCTGAAATCTTTTTTCTCCTCATCTCTACTTCTTGGCTTCCTTGGCTTTCTTGCAGTCCCAGGTAAAATCCTACCCTAAGAAGTCTTTGTCAATCTTTCTTAATTGCTAGTATCTTCCTTCCATTAATTATGTCCAATTCATCCTGTATATATCTTGCTTGTACCTAATCATTTGCATTTATCACTCATTACACTATGAGCTCCTTGAAGGCAGGGGCTATTTTAGCACAATGGCTGGCACATGGTAGGAGTTTAATAAATGCTAGTTGTCTGACTGAATTTCAAATCTATATAACCAATCCTAACAACCAGAGCTCCAGTCCTGTATGAATCACTACCTGCTGAACATCAAATTCAATACATCCAAAATGGATTCCATATTTTCCCTAAACTCATTTTTTAATAAACTTTATCCCTTCTAGTGATACCACCATCATTGTTCCTCTTGCTCAGATTTGCAACCTTGGAGTCATCTTTGATACTTTCTTTTTCTTCAATTCCCACATCCAATCAGTGGCCAAGTCTTGATGATCACACCTGCAAAACATCTCAAGACTGTCTCCTTCTTTCTACCACACAACTATCCTCATTCAGGCTCTCATCTTCTCTCAGCTAGACTATTCCAATGGGCCTCCTAATTGGAACCCTTATCTCCCATCTCTTTCCTCATCACTTTACCCTCTAAATTACTACCAAATTGACACTTCAAATACAAATTTGACCATGACTTCCCACCCCACCTCCCCCCAAAAAAAATCTTCCATGGCTCCCTATTGCCTTTAGGATAAATAACAAGCTACTCAGTGTTTGAAGCTCTTCACAATATCTCTCATTTCAGTCTTATTTCATTTTAACTACTTCTCACTCTCTTTGTTCTATACAAACTGGCCTACATATATATAACATTCCATCTCCTCCCTGTGTCTTTGCACAAGTGGACCCTGGGATTTGGAATATACTTCCTTCTCACCTCCAACTTCTGTTTTGTAAGAAAACTTTATCAGTTGTGAGAACCTGAAAGAAACTATATTGTAGTATTTGAACTAGTCCCGCAGGGCTGGGAAGCCGGACCACCTCTACCTGCTGTTAGAGAACCTTAACTAAGGACATAGATTTAAAGATGGATGCAAGGAGTTTTCTCACAATTATACATCTCAAGCATATGTCTTATCTGAAAACTGACCCCATGCTAATCAGTCAGTTGTTTCCATGTTCTTTTGATTATATACAGACACTTAGGGGAAGTGAGACATCTCTTTCTCTGATTTTAGGAAACTGTGTCTATTTACTCTCCCCAACCCAATTTGGAAAGTCCCTAATCTTCCCTCAAATTATAAATCAGATTACCTAATTTTCTATACTTGTTAATCATTTTCTTTTAATAAATTACTCTCATTTGATTAATTGTTTTTAATGTATAAAAGTCTGTCTCCTTCAGAGTTCAGGCCTAAGCTGAGGAAGGGACCTGGTCCCAATTTATTAGGCAATTAGCATGCATTCCTTAATAAATCTATACACTCAGAAGCTCAAAACTTTGTTTCCTCAGTCATTTCATCTTTCACCCACCACAATGTATATATCATACATATGCATATGAATACATATACTGTCTAGAGGGCAATAAAAGAAAACAAAAGGAATTGGCCTAAGATGGGCACACTGTTCCTGGCATGTCAACTGCTGATGAGAACTAGTCCCAAACTAAGTTAAGTAGGGTCTTCTTTGAGGCTGTAACTCTCATAGGATGATAACATAACAGGAAGAGTTTTCCTGTGGAAGGAAACAACACAGAATCTGGAAGGGACCTCAAAATCCATTTAGTCCAACAGCCTCATTTTACAGGGATGGACACCGAGGCCCAGGAATGTTTGATGATTTGCCTAGGGTCACACATTTATCAAATGACCGAAGCAGGATTTTAATTCAGTTGCTCCTACCTCCAAAACTAGCACTATTTCTACTGTAAACAAATGCCTCAGTGGCCACCCTTCATCACAGCTCTTAAAAGATGACATCCAAGGAAGAAGACATTGTTTTTTCAGTGATAAGCCATGTTTTTGATTCCACATCTTTTTTTTTAGGCAATTGGGGTTAAGTGACTTGCCCAGGGTCACACAGCTAGTAAGTGTCAAGTGCTTAGTCTGAGGCTGGATTTGAACTCAGGTCCTCCTAACTTCAGGGCCGGTGCTCTATCCACTGCACCACCTACCTGCCCTGATATATCCACATCTTAAACTAAGAAATGGAGGTGACAGTATGCCAAAGTTGAAGAGATGCAGACCTATGAAGAACTAGAACTGGGTCAGGATTTGCTCTCATTTTCTGTCCAAATGCTACAGATGGGAATCATTGCTTCTTTGCTTTTACCTCATGGCTCTAGATTAAACCAGCAAACTATGTTTCTTAGCATTATGAATACAGGCTGTAAGGATTTATTCCTCGGGCAGTAGTTTGCTGATTGCAGGTCTGGTATTCTAGAAAAAAAAAGTCTATAAGAGGCTTCTGAATTTATGAATTTTCTTCACGATTAAGGTCTCCTTGCTGTTAATACCTGTAACATTCTCCTACCACTTTGTCTTTCCCTTTTGTACCTGTGGTTCTCCAACTTCCAGATTACCAGGTTGGTTTTAACTTGCTGTCTTACTCTGACTATAGGATCCATGTTCGGACCATGGTCCATGTTCAGACCATGACATTCAGTTCTGCTTTGATCATGACTCCCAGGTACTTTCCTAAGTCTGGATGACTCCCAAACTAGTCAGGTCTTGATTCTAGTATGCCAGCGCCATTATCATATTCCAAGTCTCTTTTACTCACTCTGTATCCCCAAACCCTCCCTACATCTAGTTGGAGTGAATATGAACTCACAACTCTTCTTGCAGCACTCCTGTGGAATGTGGATTGCTTACCCTTTAACTAAAAGAGAAGTAATTCTAGAGAAATGGACTGCAACTGTCTTCTAAATACACCTTCTCCTACCAAAGCTCAAAACTTGGAAAATAAAAAATATCTTCCAAGGTGTGACAGTTTGTCCTGTGTCCCACTTTTGATGAAGAATTACAACTGGTAAAATTGCAGGATCTGAGATCTTTTCATAAAGAGAGGAGGTACCTAATTGCCCACATAAAGACTCACTCATATGTCCAACACTGAAGAAATGCTATAAAATTTTAGAGACTAACAACAATTACTATCTTAAAAAAGAAAAGTGAGAGTATAGTAATTACTGTGTCAACAACTATCACCGGTAAGAACTTAGAGTGAATTTCCCAGTACTGGCTATTGAACAGTATTATTAATTGGTTAGTTCCTAAATTGCAAGGCAGCTTTAGACCGCAACACACTCTTCCTGTTCCTCTCATTCCTGTTATTAACAACTCTCTCCCGTCTAGTCAAAGAACACTTTTAGCCTACTATCTCTCCCCATATCCTCATCCCTAGTTCTAATACTTCCAAGCTTAGCATTAGCCTCTCTACTTTTGTGTCTTCCTCTGCCTTTCCTTCTCACTATAATCTATAGAAACCTCCTCCATTTTTATCAAATTCTACTTTATCGTTTGCATATGACAAGTGTAAGGGTGAGAGGTCATTGTGCAATAGTTAACGCAAAAAACAAACCCAGCCTACCAGTGAGAGATTGAGATAGAAGCTTCTGAACATAGCAGAGTAGATGGAAAGCTAACCTCTGACTCAAGAATATGTAGATTTGAGCTCCACTCATAACACATGGCTATGTGTGACCTTAAACAAGTCACTTAATATCTCAATGACCCAGTCAACTCTCTAAGACTATAAATTGCAGAAAAGTTAACAATTTCCATTGGTAGAGTTTCCTTACAATTAGTTCTCTGCATCAAAGGAAATTACAAGTCCAGACAATTTACTTTTCTGTGTACGTGGTGTATTTCTCTCCCCTACCCCCACCCAGTAGAATGTTAAACTCCTTGAGGGCAAAAACTGTTTAATTTTTGTTTTTTGTTTATTGGTTTTCATCATCAGCTGGCAATAATAAGCACTTAATAAATGCTAGTTGAATCTAATTTAATACAGAAGACAAGATCTGAGCTGCCTGACAAAAATGAGAAAAGCATAGAGAACAGCATTCAAAAGTCCATAGTATATTCACAGACATAATGCAAAGCATGTCATATAAGCAGAATGATATACCAGAACCCTTGGTGGTGAAACATGGCAGAAATCCAGGATTGGAAGAATCAAAGAATGTTCAGAAGCCAGAATCAAAACATGAGTTTAGTCACAAGAGGTTAAGGCAAAGCAACTTGTAGGGGCCTATGACTAGTAGTCAGGTTGCTGTCACTCATATTCTAAGCCTTAAGCCCCCTTGTACCTTCTTGAGGCCTCTGTTTCCATGTAGAACTCAGAAATGGTCATGATGCTATGTATGAATTATAGTAGGATCATAACAGCATATCTTCAGAGCTGGAGGGGTTCTTAGAGTTCCTTAGCATACATGTCTTTACTTTCTTTCTCCAGCAACAGTCCCTCTCTAACCAGAATTTAATGCATGGTAGGGGCTTCCTCTCTTACCCTTAGCACTCATTGCCCCACTTATTCTTTCTTCTAGTCTCTCTTTCTCTCTCAATCACTGAAAAGTTTAATCACAGCCTCACTATTTCTAAATTTCCACGATCAAACTCCTCTCTGTGCTTCCTCTTTCAAAGTGTATCAACTCATAAGTTCCCAGTACAAAGCAAATACAAATACTCTCTAACTGTTCATCCACCCTCCCTTCCCCACACCCAGACAAGTTTTCAACTTCCAAACAACCAATATCAGCTCTGAGGAACTTAAAAAGACTCTGGCAAGTGGCAGCTTCAAACCCTTACAGACGGCTCCTCACCCTTCAGCATCTGACCCCAGAACATCTTCTATTTCTGTTACAGTGTATCCTAAACTAGACAAACAGTCAGGAGGTGCAGACATGAGGAACCAACAATAAGTAAATCTTTGTAGT